CTTTAGTCGTTTTGACATAATGAACATATTTGTTTATTTGACTTTGACATTTTAGAGTTTAGTTAATTTATTAGAAAATGAGTGGATGATTAATGTACAGTACATATTCAAATATTTTTCATATATACGTGTATTTTTTGTTCTTATTCTATGAGTCATGAATATTAATGTTTTCTACTGATTGCTTGAGGTTTTGGATCATGCATCCTTCTGTATTACGAAATAAAAAATTTCATTTTCAATGGGTTCCTACACTCTAAAAATGAAATGTTGGATTTACTTAACCATGTTATGTTACAGTACCTGGTTCCACTTAACTGAGTTGAGTAAATTCAAAGCGATCATGTTCTTTGGCTAAAAAACTGGTGTATTGCTTTGAATTTACTCAACTCAGTTAAGTGGAACCAGGTAACATGACATGGTTAAGTAAATCCAACATTTCATTTTTTACAGTGTATCCTGGTCCTTGAGGGCTGCTGTCCTTCATGCTTTGATTCCTTGTTTAAAATACTTGATTCAGTGACTGAATTATCTATTCAAGTTCAGCAGAATCCTGTTGATTACCCATTCATTTAATTCAGGCTGGAAGAGAAAAACCTATAAAACCTTGAGGACCAGGATTGGACACCCCTGATCTAAACAGAAACTGCCAGCTACATGCATTGTCTCTGTTGTCTTTATCCCAGGGGTATTGTCAATGTGGCTTCTTCATCCAATCTTCTCACCAATTCCAAGAATGTGCAGTTGGTCCTGGACCCAAGCCTGGCCCTTCTGAGCCGTCGCCAGCGCAGGCTGATTCGGCAGAATCCTGGCATCTTGTACGCCATCGCCGCTGGGTTGCACACTGCCATAAAGGAGTGCAAGTGGCAGTTCCGCAATCGCCGCTGGAACTGCCCAACCACCCACAGCTCAGCCATTTTTGGCAAAATTGTCAACCGTGGTAAGCCTCATTTTAGTTTTCAACAGGGGATRTGTTTGGGCACCTCTAGGCGGGATGTCATGGAATCCATTGGGAACAGTTAAGAAGTTTTGCCGTAATGCTTTCCTGCTTTGGGTAAGCATTAGCCAAACCGAGTCTGAACACTGTCTAAGGTTCTAATGAGAAGTTTTAATGTTGTTTATTCAGGTTGCCGAGAAACGGCATTTGTATTTGCCATTACCAGCGCAGGAGTGACCCATGCTGTGGCTCGATCCTGCTCAGAAGGGGCCATTGAGTCGTGCACGTGCGATTATCGACGCCGAGGCCCTGGAGGGCCAGACTGGCACTGGGGGGGCTGCAGTGACAATGTGGACTTTGGCCGGATGTTCAGCCGGGACTTTGTGGATGCCAGTGAGCGGGGCAGAGATCTGCGCTATCTCACCAACCTGCACAACAACGAAGCCGGCAGAATGGTGAAGAGCTCATACTTCAACTTAACTCATAAATGTTGTAACATAACAGATATACATAAAATGTTCTTGTAATAGATGAGATCTCAGCTGTGGTTTCTGGTCTTCCTCTCACCAGACTGTATCATCAGAGATGCGTCAGGAGTGCAAGTGTCACGGCATGTCTGGCTCATGTACGGTGCGGACCTGTTGGATGCGCCTACCCAGCTTTCGCACAGTGGGGGACTTCCTTAAGGAGCGCTTTGATGGCGCCTCCAGAGTGGTTTACGCGAACAAGGGCAGCAACCGCGCCTCTCACCGAGCTGACCCCCGACATCTGGAGCCCGAAAACCCTGCTCACAAACCTCCCTCTGCCATGGACCTTGTGTATTTTGAGAAATCACCAAACTTCTGCTCCTCCAACGGCAAAACGGGCACCGTGGGAACTTCCGGAAGAACGTGCAACAGCTCTTCTCCAGGCCTGGACGGATGCGAGCTGCTGTGCTGCGGACGTGGGTTTAAGACTCAGACCGAGAGTGTGACGGAGCGCTGCCACTGCACGTTCCACTGGTGCTGTCATGTCAGCTGTCTGAACTGTACCAGCACACAAACGTTGCATCAGTGTCTATGATCAAAGGCGGACATCCAGACTGAGATTTAGGCACGACCAAAAACAAAAAAAGACTTCTAAAAAAAGAAAAAAACTGATCATTGGTTAGGAGAACCACAAACACTCAGGTGGTCTAGAAAAGGCTAGAAAAACTTGGAACCTCTCTGGGAGAAACATTCAATCAGTTTGGAAAATAGGAGGAAAAAAACAATTTTTTTCAACAGGGTACCAAAGGAGTATATGTGCTTGATTTTTTTTTTTACCTTCACTGCTCATTAAGAAATATTTAAACACAACAAAACTGTATCTTCATGTGTGTCAAGTGTTTAAACTGAAGATAAAGGAATTTGGTGTAGAACTGTGTTCTCCAGCAGAGGGCAAAAACCATACATGATGTCCCCCAAATGTTTCTGTAGCCAGAGAGCACAAACCTTTACTTCTGTTAGGACTTCTAACAGGACAAACGTCATATTAAACCAGTTTTGTTCTTTTGGAGAAGTTTGGCTTCTCTCTCCTGAAACTGCATAATTTATCTTCAGGGATGCTCTTTTTGTTCTCAACCAATATAAACCTGGATGCCCCGCAAACCAATTCTAATCTAATTGAATTTCTTTGGCAGCATTTGCTCTCTTTGTTTAAACTTTTCGGTCGTTAAATACCCCGTAAAATTGAATTGTCGCTCTCACAAAGGGCAAGAGAAAATGAACGGATAAATCTGACAAACTAAAATTCGAATGTATCATTAATGAATATCATGAGATGAATAGATTTAAGCAAAATTGAGAGGAAAATCATATCAGTCGCACTTATTCTGGTGAACAATGGTGTGATGAAATACATGTTCTGGGTTTAACAAGACTCAATAGGTATACATTTAATCTATGTTTTTTTTGTTTGCTTGTCACGAAAAACTAAAAACATCATAATATCAGCTAAAAGAACCAAAATTGTGTATGAAAAAATATTTATAAAGATTTCACTTGTATATCTGCAGAATGATTTATGTGTCCATCAGTTGCTGGACATTATGTCGTCATTAGTCAGGAGATGTTTCTGACTTTTTTTGTATAAGCTGATAAATGTCAGCTCTATACAAAACAGAACATTATTGCATTTTTTTATTGATGTTTGTAAAAAACAAATCACCTGCTTGTTCATGCACTGAATATTTACTTCTTTTTTACAAGTGTAAATATAAATATTTATTTTCAAGGATTTTTATACTGGTATAGAGAAAAGTAAAAGTCATTTTTAGATTTCTTGGAAAAGATTTAGTTGGTTTTGTACTGTATGATAGAAAAATAAAGTTTATATTTTCAATTAAGTTAGTCTTCTAAATGTGTCTCATGTACTTTTTGCTTTTTTTTAACCAAGTGAACACATAAGCTGGTCTCTGGGTGTCCTATGCTTAATCCTATTACCACCAGCAAAGCAGACTCTTTCTCCAGCTCACAAAACATCCCTGCATCTGTGCTCTCAACCACAGAAACAAGATCTAGTCATTCAGCTTCTTCAGCTCATTCAGTGTAGGTGCTGAAACTGAAAGCTCTGTTTCGTTTATCCAAAATGTGGAAGAAATAAAGACAAATCTGTAGTTTTAATAAAAAACTGTCTTTCTTTAATGACCAGCCCAAATTCTAGCAATCCTGAATGACACAGAAGAGGTAAAAACATTGGAAAACTTGACAAAAAGGGATGAGAACCCTCTTGATTTAGTCTTAAAGAACATTTCAGAACCACCGTTGATGCTCTTTATATACTAGTGATGATGTCTCTGAATTTAGAAAAAAAAACATGAAGGAAAACTGAACTGAATAACAAAAAAAATGGGGGTTTAGGCTTTTCTGATCTGCACAAAACAGATTCTTTATGTATTATCACTTAAAGGGATCCCTGATTATAGTTGTAACATTAGACTTTATTTGATAAACACATTTAACTGTAAAATAAAGACTGTAAAAATACTGTAGGATGTTTAGTTTTGTAAATTTTTTAAAATATATTTTAACATGGACGGAGCCATTTTATTTACATCCAAAGCATTCTGGGTAAATGATGACATGGATAGGTCCTCAGTGTGAGCGAGCTATATCCACCCTGAAGGTTAATCTCGGACAATATCTGATGATCGACTCTTTTAAATGAAACCAGAGAGCGTTGACAGAGAGGAGAAGGTAGAAATGATTCAACCTGTAACTGAAAATATGGATGGAGGACAACAGAGCTGCTTCATGGAAGAAGAACCTCAGCTTAGCCTGTTAGCCTTTGCGCTAGCGCTGACGCTATATTGCCTTATATGTATTAGCTCTGCGCTAGCTCGACTAACTAACAAGCTAAACTGAGGTCCTCCATCCATATTTTCATTTACAGACTGAGTCATTTCTACCTTCTCCTCTCTGTCAACGCTCTCTGGTTTCATTTTAAAGAGTCGATCATCAGATATTGTCCAAGATTAACCTTCAGGGTGGATATAGCTCACTAGCAGCCTCACACCAATGACCTACTTGACATCATTATTTACCCAGAATGCTTTGTGTGTAAATAAAATGGCCCTGTCCGTGTAATATATTTTTAAACTTGTAGTTTAAAAATGACAAAAACTAAACAGCCTACAGTATTTTTACAGTCTTTATTTTACAGTTAAAATATATATTTATCAAATAAAGTCTAATGTTACAACTAATCATGGATCCCTTTAAGAGGTGAATACATGTCAGAAAATGACAGGGTGAGTGATGTAGTGACTTCCAAACTAAATAAAAAATCAGTGCTGTTAAACGAAAATGATGCAATAAATCTGCTAAAGAAACTAAAACCTCAACTTAGAGAAAACGAGGACGATATGAGAGAAATGGAAAGGGTAGATCACAGGAAAATAAAAAAACGAGCAGGCACAGATCAGATCCCAGGCTGACGAGTGAGGTTGGAGAGTCGTCAGAGACAGTGAGTGGAGGGGGTGCTGCCTGTGGGAGTGCTAAGGAGTCAGTGATAATTAGCTCAATTAGTGACAAAGGCAGTGTAATAAATACCGACTTAGTGTCTGGGTCCCTGCTGGCCTCTCCCCGCACAGCCTGCGATGTGGCCCTGGCCTGACGGACAATTCATTAAACTGACAAAATACCCCACCGTCCAGGCGTGACGCAGCGAGTTAGCCCCCTACATGCCCGGCTCATTGTTCTAATTGTCTGGGCTGGAGTCACTTTGTGGCCGCCTCCTCTTTCACCCGCCCCGCGTTCACGCTCTGCCTTCAGAAAACCTGTGGAGTTAATGCCCCTACCTTACTCTGCTAGTAGGTGATCGGCAGGTTGGGAAAACTGAACAAAAAAAAAGAAGAGAGAAACCAGTAAGAGCTCGTTGGGGTGAGGCTGGTGGTGGGGGAGGCAGTGGGATTAGGGAATGGAGGTTGCCTGGGAGTGTTGAGAGCTGCGCTGATCGGAATGTAGGAGAGATGAGTCCAGAAGCTCGGATGAGGGACAAAGCGAGAGTTAATAAGGAAAGATTGAAGGGGCTGGCGACAATGGGCCGCCACCCGAGTCGAGATGAAATTGCTTCCGAGGATTATTGGAAAAGGGTGTGAGCATTGTAGGGTTCTTGTGTGGGTACGAATTTGCTTGGCATTTGTGTGTTTGTGATTCAGTGTGTGTATCTATGTGTGTGGAGGGTGTGTGTATGTGTGTGGTGGTGGGGGGGATTGATCGCTGCCCCTCTGGTTGGGGAGCAGGAGACCAAGGGAGGCTAACCGGCTGTTCCCACAGTCTGTTCTCCTGCAGCCACCTTTGACACACGGGCTGCCAGGCGGTGAGCAGGCGGCCGTGGTGAGACGGGCACAGACGAGAACAACAGTGCTGCTAAACAAAAGTCACTCGCTTTGGAGGGCCAACGGAGGAGCACCGACTGGAGTTCAGGGCTTTTCCAAGCTCTCATGTTAACACTGCACTGACATCCCGCCTTCCCCTCTATTGAAAATGTCCTCTATAATCAATTTCTTGCCACAGTAAATCAAATTTCCATCGTAGCTGGACAGGACAAGGCCAAGGGTCAAAATCAAATAGCTGATGATGATGAAACATTAAGACAAATAAACTGAACTGATGTCAACAATCATRATGGTAGAAGATCTTTATATCGTTTGTCCCAAATGTTCTTATAATAATGCAGCAAACTGGTCGATCAGGAGAACACGCAGTCAAAACAGTATAATTTAATAGATTTCTGCTAAACTGTGGAATAATGTTTGGCCCGTTGGTTGGAGCTGGTTGCTTTAATGCAAATAGCAAATGATAACTCAGAACTGGCTGTTCGGTACTGGTTGTGATGGACAATGAGGCCCACAGAGCACTGATTTGATTTCTGTGCTGAACTAACATTTTGTGTAATCCTAGCACTCAATTATGGGCCAAGCTCCAATTAATTGGGGTATTTTTTATTATATGAACATCCCTAAAATGCTTGTGTAACAATCAGAAGAATTTGCGTGGTGCCACTAAGAGACCGCAGGGATATTACGTACTAAGATATGTATTTACAGCCCCATCGCACACATGTATTAAAAAAACGAATGAAATAAACCAAACCCAAAGTTACAAAAAGCTTAGAAAGCGGATCCGCAACAGTTGGTTTGATTGCTCAAACTTGCTTCTGTTTCGACTATACTTTTGGGTTGTTTAAAAAGAGTACCTTGTTTTCGTAGAAAGGTTTGTGCGCACACTCGAGTGTGTGTGTGCGCAGCTGAGTGTGTGTGTGGATGGCAGCTGGGAGGCAGACACGGTCCAAGAGAATCGTCCCCTAGCAACTGACCTTTTTGGCAGATGGTAGTTTCGGAGTAACAGCCACCCAACATCACATCACAATGGCCGTGGCCTCCTAACATCTCCATCGCTTCATCATCCGCTGACCTGCCACAACCTGTCACAGGAGCACCGGAGAGGAGCAGATGACTCACACATTTATAAACTTCAGTGTCTTACTCATTTGGACTCCTTCGGGTCTGAAACACTCTAAAGWACAATAAAAAAAAAACGGAGGACACGGTGGATACTCACTGTCTGCAAACCTTCAGACACTCTCAAACCGCTGTTTTCCATTGTTGGGTTTTCGGCACAGTAGATCAGGGTGGGAATGTGGAGAGACCACTGGACCACAGTGAGCAATCAGTGTGATGTCTGTGGTCGGGCCCTGTGACCCTACGGAGAAAGACAGAGAGCGAGCCCTGCACTTAAGGTGGGAGGGAAATAAATTACATTTCGTGTGTGTGTGTTACATGAACACACGTGTGAATCTAGACGAGACGATAATATATTTATACAAGCTGTCAACACCCCCACCCTCAGCACGCATATACTGACCTCTGAACTGTCGGCTTGACGGCCTCTTGCCTGTTGGCACATTTCTTGTTGATATTAAATACTTTTCTCAACCTCAAGACCTCACCACAAGATCTTAACCTCAAACACCTCGTTGCATTGAAACATCTACAGCTGAACGCCCAAAGATGCTCTCTACTCGCCGTGTAACATGGTTGGCTTTAAAAGTGGAATATGTAAAGTGGTCAGCTACGAAAAACATTTATGATATTTGTAAAAACAGCTAAAACCGACAGCTAAATGTAAGGAAACAGTTATGGAGTGGCACTCAAAGAAATAACTGTTGTAAAGAGGCTTTTAAGCACAAAACATGAGTACACGACTATTCATTATTTTAAATAAGTCTTTCTTTTTATGAACATTCTGGACAACATAAAGTGCCTGTGACATATCCTTCAAATACAAAAAATCAAATAAAACATCTTTAAATTTAAGAAACTTGGCATAATACACATGAATTCACCCGTTTTGTCACATAACCAGCATATGTTCTTTGGAACTTGGCTCAGCTAAAGGAAAACAGGAAGTGACATTAAAGAGAGACTCTTTAAGAAAGACATGTCCCTGGTTTTTGTTTATTGAAACAATATTATTTGAACTCTAGTTTCTTCATCTCTCTCTAAAATGATCCAAAAAAACATTCAATACTTCTCTATAGTCTGCATTGATAGTTGAGTTGTTTTAGCAGCACTTCCTTTACATGCAGACATTCCCCTTTGACATCACTTCCTGTTACTGCACATGTGATAAATCTCCAAAACTGTTCATCTTGTGGCATGATTTTATTCCTTTAATATGTTTTTAATATAATCTTTTTAATCTTTTCATATTTGTTTAAGAAAAAATCGATGCCACAGGTACTTTAAACAAGGTTATCAAAAAACTAGACCCATCAAAGAATCAGAGGAAACAAAATTCTCCTCAAAAAGACAGATAACAAGATACTGACTTCCTAAATCGACTTGAGAAAATGAG